CCTGATCATCCGACGCTTCCAAGAAAAGCATGAGATCATCAGCGAACATCAAAAAACCGATACTGAGCCTCGCCCCACTGAGATAGGCCGCCACCGCATCTCCTCGACTTGTTGGCTGATTAATTGGGCTAGCCGCTCCATGCATAGAACAAACAAATAAGGGGACATGGGGTCGCCTTGACGGATTCCCCTCGACGGAGTGAACTCATCGCAGACTTCACCATTCCACAATAGTTGCATGGAGGATGAGCGAATACAGGCCATGACAGCAGTAACCATCTTAGCAGGGAACCCTGAAAGTTGTAGGGTTTCCTCTATGAACTCCCATCGGAGGTAGTCGTAGACCTTAACGAACATCTACCCCTCACAACTCTACTGAAATTGAGATTTGTCAAAACCTTCCATAATGACTTGAAACATCTGAAATTTTTGAGTCTAATTGTATTTATGTGGTAAATAAATAGACTTAAGTTTTGGATAATATGGATAGAAATATAAAAGAGTAACAAATTTAACTCCAATTCAAAGAGACTAGGTCAAGGTCTAAACTATACATGTTTTGGGTCTAATTGTGCTTATGTGACAAGTAAATAGACTTAAGTCTTGGATGGCATTGACAAAAATATAAGAAAAAAAATAACAAATTTAACTACAATGCAAAGAAATTAGGTCTCTACTAGGGTCTAAAATAGACTTAAAAATATCGAGTCTCTTTTTCTTGCTGCCACATAAGCAAGACTCGATCTACTTGCACTTGCATTGATATACATATTTTTCTTGAGTATGTCTGGTTCTTATATATTTTTGTCAAAACATGGTAGATGCTAACAATTGAACTTCATCGAATGCCCAAAGCACTTTGCAGTTTTTCACCTAATTATGTAACTACACCATCACAGTGACATGACTAAAAAGGAAAAGAAAGTCGAATAAAAAGCCTAACCAAAGAAAACAATATCCTCCTGCTCTGCTCTGTTTAACAGACACAATCTTTCTATATATGATAAACACAGTCGTCAACCTTGTACACTTCAAACC